ACGTGGCGGTCCATGCAACCGTGCTATGGGCAGGCGATCCGACGGCTAACCGCGTGCCAGCGGAGCGATCCGCGTCGCCCACTGATAATCGTTGCCCGAGGGCGCGGTTTTCGTATCGGGAAAAGAAACTGTGTGTTGGAGGCGCGGTTTTTGGTGGGGTAAAAAATACCAAACCGCCCCTCCACCTATAAATACACACCCCCTTCCTCTCATTTTCTTCACACCAAAACCAATTTCCTCTCTCTAATTTTATCACTCTACCCATCTCCCTCTCCACCCAAAAACCTTGGAAGTAGTGGTTTGTTGGTTGCGGCTAAGTACGATCTGGCTTCAAAAAAATTTTATTTGGTTTTCATTAAAAACCCGTCCAATCTCTGTCCGGTTTCTGAAAAAATGGCCAATTTTTTTGAAGAAGAGCGTATTTACTATGATGACATCAAGCGGTATGTACTCATTTTACCTAATTTTTGTTGTTGTTGTAATGATTTTATTTAATCTATATACTAATTGATTTATGTTGTTGTTATGCTATTGTAGGTTTGGGAGGACATTGATATATACAATCAACGATATTATGTTGGTCAAAGACCGATTGATCCGACTATGTTATACGACCAAGATAATCATCGTTCAAGGGACTTTTGGAACGACCACAAGGTACATATTATAGATGACCTACATGTGTGAGTATTCACCGCACGGGATATGACCCAATGGCCGACTCTCTTGCTCTTGATGGCCCCGACCCTAGCCTTGCATCCCTCGTGTTGATTTTGGCATCTAACCATCAACCTCTTCGTGTCGGAATGGGTTGTGTGCCACTCAAAACTCCGAGTCATTGATTCATTGGCAATAGCGTGCCGCACCTCATTATTCATTGCAAATTGTTGGCCCTTCGTAAAGCTAGTGAGTGGACCCCATACTGGCACCTCTGGCAGCTCCATGTCGGCATCAACATACCAATCTTCATTTGGAATGTGATTTTAGTACGGGATAGGTACACGGTCACGAGGCACCTCATCACCGTCTAAGTCTAAATCTGGACCAGAATTATCATCACCTTCAAGGGGTCGAAACTGTCTGCATTGACATCGCGTTCCTCTTCTTCAACCTCATGGTCACTAACTGGACATGGATTGACATCTTCCATTTGATCAAGATCATGAAAGGCACCTTCATCAGCTCCGTAATGGTAGTTGTGGTAACTACCACCGCCTTGGTAGAAGTTGTACTCGGGTTGATACTGGTAGCCTTCTTGTTTGTTCCCATATTCCTGTTGAGCTTCTTCTTCATATGTTGGGAAGGATTGATGATGGCCTCCACCTACATCATGATAATCCTGACACCAGCTTGTGTCTTGGCACTCCTAGTGGGGATGATCTTCGTATAATCCACCCCCGCCGTGGATACCAGATGTTTGGCAATCTCCACAATGTCCTACACTGCCTTCGACCTCCTCGGTATAAACAAACATCTCCGCTTGTTTAATTTTATTGATGGTCAAAAATTGGACCATGGCATCAAGGTCCTCCTGAGTGGTAATGAGGAATTCCTCATTCCACAACGACCCGCCATCTCTGTTTGGATATCGATACACCATACGATCAACTCTTCTAGTGCCATCCATGCAGGTAACCTCAGTACACATTTGATGGAGCTCTTCAAGCATCGGTCTCGTAGCGACCTTCTTTCTATAAAAATTTCCATCGACGTAGGTGACCCCCTTTCCGGTCTCTTCCGTGTAACCATTCCACTGTAACCCAAGGGTGAACTTTTGGAATGTCATATGCAATAAAACTGTAATTAAGTTACTACCATAAAAATCACAAATGACAATGAAAAGTAATACAAAATAAACTTACGAATTAACGTTGATCGCAAAAACTAAAAAATTAAAGGTGCACAACTGAAATTTGAAAAAGAAGAAGAAGAAGGAGAGGAGTGAAGATTTTGAGTTTTCCGGGGCTGCCTTTTATAGGCAAATTTTACACTTAAAACCGCAGGGGGAGCGATTTTAGTATGGCATGCAGCCCCAACCTCTGTAACCTTCTGCATGCCGACATGTCGGATGTCGGGGGAATGAGTAGGGATGGCAATGGGTCGGGTTGGGTCGGGTTTTGCCAAACCCAAACTCAAACTTATGGGTTTATCTTTGAAAAAAACCCGGGGTAAAACCCACTGGGTTTGAAAAACTCAAACCCAACCCAACCCGTTGGGTATCCGCGGGTTCATGGGTACCCACGGGTTTTGTCGTTAAAAATTTACAATTACAAGTTCTTATCAAAATTAAAGTCAAATATCAATATCTCAATACAAATTATCCATATATAAAACACCATTCTAGAAAATTCAAACAAATCACAAATTAACTATACAAATTGTTCAACATCAATCTAGAAAACTCAAGAAAATTGAAGCAAATCACAAATTATCCATAAATAACATGTTTAATTGAAAGCTTCTTCCTTTCAATTAAGTTTCTATACTCTCCACTCCATAACATCAACTTCATTCTACACAATTAAAAAAAAAATTAGGCATGTCTCCACAAACATAAATAAGATTAGTTGTTTGGAATATTAAATATACCGAAAAAATTAATTATATGGGTGGGCGGGTACCCACAGGCCGGGTTTACCTAAACCCAAACCCAACCCAACCCATTGAATAGTGAACGGGTTTAAACCCAAACCCGGCCCAAAACCCGTCAACACGGATTTTACCCGCGTTGACCGGGTTGGGTCGGGTGGGTACCCGTGGGTTCGGGTTTTGTTGCCATCCCTAGGAATGAGGCTCAGGCACAAACCGATAGGGGGTGCGGTTCTACGTCGGCAACATAAACCGCGCCACAGGCAAGCGGTTTATTATGTCGACGCACAAACCGCACCCGGAGCACACGGTTTGTGCTAGGGCAGCCATAGGAACCGCTCCTTCGAAATGCGGTTTCTCCAAAAAATACAAATTGCTCCTCTGGCGTGCGATTCCATTTTAAACCACCGCCTTGTAGTGCTGTTTTAGTTGTAACCGCCCCTTCGTGGTGTTGTTTTCAATTAAGGGTGGTAGATTTGGAAATTTTTCGGTATGGGTGGTATTTTTGTAATTTTTTTAAACAGTGGTAGTTTTGGATTTTTTCCTATAAAGTCTAACCAATTCATTAAAAAAAAGTTAGACGGGTTAGCTAACCGTCAGCTCCCATCCCGACCCACCCATTCCCATTCCCATTCTGAAGGAGGAAAGTTAATCTGCTAACTTGAAGATTCGTTAGCAGATACTAACTGATATCCAAAATACATGAACTAGTATCCAAGTACTAAAGTATCTAGAGAGCACATACTAGTATTCAAAGTTTGCTAACTAATATCCACCATGAATCAACTATTATTCCAAATTCACAAACTAATATCTATACAACACATAATTAATATTCAGATAACACATAAGAGCATCCATATTGAATACTAGTTGGTTGATTGTGGAGTTGGTATCTGCTATCTGGATACTAGTTTGTGATGTTTTGAATACTAGTCTGTGCTATCTAGATACTCAGCAGACTTGGATATTAGTTCATACATTTTGGATATTAATTAGTATATACTAACGAATCTTCAAGTTAGCAGAATAACTAGGCTGGTACCGGAACGGGTTAGATGCTTTGCGTGGCTGGTTGCTCACAACAAGATCAGCTGCAACGAACAGAGGGCCAAACTACATCTATCCTCCTCACCCTTCTGTTACAGATGCTCGTCGCAGGTAGAGACTCCTGTCCATGTGCTCAGGAACTGCCCGCTGGCAGCTTATAGTTGGACTCGCCTTGTACCAGCTGAGCTATAACACGGCTTCTTCAGTAGCAGTCTGGAGCAGTGGATGTCCACCAACCTGAAGGAAGATGACAAACTCGGTGGTGATATTCCGTGGAATTCGTTGTTCAGCATTGGACTGTGGAACCTGGGGAAGAATAGGAATGAGGGCGCTTTTAATGGGAGCGAGAAGACGCTCTCTCCTCCTTCTCTTCTTCAGGCCATCAAGATTAAAAGCAAGCATATGGTACAAGGCGTGGTTAGCTCCCAGGAGGATCTTGGGATGGAGGCAGGTCTCGTCGCAGAGAACTCCTACTGAGATTGGTTGGCTTCCACCGCCGGCAGGCTGGGATAAGATGAACGTCGACGGAGCGGCTAACGGGAGTCAAGGCCCTGCGGGAGCGGGCGGCATCCTCCGAAACACAAAAGGCATGTGGACCGAAGGTTTCGTGTGTAACTTGGGGTCGTTTTTGTCGATGTTTGCTGAACTTTGGGGCATTTACCTTGGGCTGGGAGTAGCATGGCAGCAGGGGTGCAGAACTCTCATTCTCGAGACTGACTCCCAGATGACCTTGCAACTCATTGACAAGAGAACTGATCCCCTCCATCCTCACGCTACTCTTCTTGTCGCTATCAGGCGTAGGATCGACTAAGACTGGGTGGTTAAGTTAGCTCACACTTATCGAGAAAGGAATAGAGCTACGGACTGGCTCTCGAAGCACAGTCTCGTGTACCCCTACGATAAGTATGAACTAACGGCGCCACCCCAAGGGAGGGATCCAACACATTATCGGAGATGATTGTAGAGGAACCAATATTACTAGGAGCATTGTGTGATTGCTCCACATACTTCTCTCGCTCTGTAATCTCCTCTCCTCCCCCATCCTTCTCTCTTTCTTCGGCTTTTGCCTCCTTTTACTATAAAAAAAAAAAAAACTAGGCTGGTTCCGAAGACCCAACCCAATTGATTGTATGATCCGACGGTCAACATAGTCTCATCTCTAAATATAAAAAATGCCTGCCCCATGTTTCCTAAATCCAATCTTCCCTCCTTTTCAGTTTTCCCCGTTGCAGTCCCGAGCTCAGGGTTAGGGTTGGTTGGTTTTCATGTTGCTGCCGCCAACAGCTGTTCCTCTCAATTGGCTAGGCTGAGCAGTTAGCTATCTCCGATTCCTCGCTTCTGCTGGGGTTTATGAAAGAGCAATGTCTGGTATGGACGCGATAGCAGGGGGACCAGTAACAAGGAGCTCATCCCGTCAAACTCCTCTCCTCCGCCGCTGCGAAAGAGGACGGAAATCAACAGCTAGCTTAAATGCAAAACTTCGTGTTTGCGGAACCCAACAGCGGTACCTACGCCGCAAGAGGCAGCGAGCAGCTAATGTACCAATTAGTTCAAAATCGGATTCTCCCATCAGCGATATCTCCGACAATCTTCTCATCCATATTCTTCAACGTCTTCCGGATCCTAGATCAGTTTGTGTTTGCAAATCTGTCTGCAAGCATTGGAACTTCCTCATCTCCGATCCGGGCACCCTCCGTCAGTTAGTTTCTCGACACAAGATCAATCCGACTGACGAAGGGCAGCGATCCATGTTGATCTATTTCGACCGGCCCGAAACACACGGTTCGATCTTGAGGAATTTTCCTAATTTTTTTTTCCAATGGCAATGGTCGCCGCCACATCCAAGTTATCTCATGCTCCAATGACTTGCTCTTGTGCGGGAGGATTAGACCTAAAAACAGGTATGGCAGGAAGTTCTTCGTCTGCAATCCGTTTACAAAGCATTGTGTCGCCCTCCCTCTAGTCCCTACACGGCCCACATTATTCGAAGGATTATACTTTGGAACTCATCGTTTTCAAGGTGTTCTGGAGCACGATGCATCCCTAATTGGATTTGCTTGCGAACCCTGCTTTTATTATGATGATAGGAGTTGCAGTAGTTGTTTAGTGACGCAACAGAATCCCAATTTTCGATTCCGTGTGGTGTTTTTATTTAGAGGTGATACTCTTTCAGTGACCACCTTCTGTTCTGAGTCATGGGAATGGAAGTTCAGTTCTCTTGGGGTTCGGCCCTTGTCAGTTGAATTACCATTTCTACCTTCCACTGCACCCTATATTGGCGTCAGTAATGCTCATTCTACGTCCCTTGCTGGGAAGCTATTTTGGAAGACTACAGGAGCCCAAGTTGCTGTTTACGATCCTTTCAGCGATCAAAGACTGCCATTCAAATTGATTGATTGTTCTCATTTATGGTCAAATGATATTGCTAACAACAATTTCTTGATTGGGGTTTCTCAAGGCTATTTGCGTGGGATGGTGTTTCCACGCCCAGGTCGAGTTCACAGTAAAGGATTCTTCCATTGTTGGAAACTGGAAGAGGACAAGAGCGTGGTGGGCGGCTATAGATGGAGTTTTGATTATAATGTGTCCATGCGAATGGTGTACAACATTATTGTCCCACAACTTAAATTGAACAAGATAGGAGGAAGAAGGAGGAGGATGCGGTTGGGGGTATTGGGGGTTCATCCCAGCAAGCCAGAGGTCATCTATTTTGAGTGTCATGATCATAGTAAAAAGCATAATCATGATCCTTTCTTCTTCGACTTCCGCCATCACTTCAGAGTTAATGATGGGAGCCCAAAACCTGATCACAACTATGATCCTATTTATGTTGTCCCCTTTGATGTGCTTAGGCATAAGGTAGTTGGAGAGATTATACCAATTGCTGAAAGTAATGAGACCCATCTTAGGTTTAAAATGTGGGGTATGTTTGGAGTAGATGATCCAATCGGCTGGGCTGTGTTCCAGCCTGCGATTCCTTTCTGGCCAACTCCAATTCCGGTTCCAGGTAAAAAAATGCTGCCCTGTTGTGGTTAATGTTATGTTTTCTTATATAAGATTTTGGTACCTTCTTTAGTCAGTCTGCTTGAGACAGTTGTATAACAATGTTAGAAATGTTAATTGATTCCGTGAAACTATTGCGGTGTGGAAGATTTTGCAAACGAAGTTGCTGAAGAAGAACCAGAAGATGTGGACGAGAGTCATATGTATGAAAATGCTATCCGTTACCTTGTCTGGTATGAAGTTTTCTCCCATTATTGGTTTCCTTTTCAATATTTTTGGTGGAATGGATGGATAGTAATTTGCTAATTTCTATTTCTTGTTGCTCAAATCTGAAGGTGACACAATTGGTTTGGAGGCAATGCTGAGTGATGCTGCACTTTTGCTGTAACCTGTTAACTTCTAAAGCAAAAATCTGCATGAGCAGAGCTCAGCGTTATAGTTCCTGAATAAGAAAAGGGGACGGCACTGACGCATGGAGGAAATCTAAAGTAAATGTTTGGGCAAGTTATTGTTGTTTGGTTCCGAATGCTGCCGTGGTTGTTATTTATAGATTTGTGGAAATCTATAGTAAAGGTAAGGGCGAGTTATTGAAGTATTGTTCAGGAGGCTGCTGTGTTAGTTATTTATGGATTTATGGTTGTGGACGTGGATACTGTCTGATACTTGCGCAGCCATTTTTGCTCGTCTGTGAAGTGTTCCTTGGTCATTTTAGATTCTGCATTCTAAGTAGCCCCGGGTAATTTAACTTTCTTGTGGTTTCTATTGCCCTCGCAATTGTTTCTACACTAGATCTTCACGCGTCCATTAGTCTCAATTTCTTTTGTTGAAAGATTAAGACGGTGCTGCTAGGCTTGTGATCGCTTCTGTGGCTGCAACAGAAGGCCAGCTTACGATTGGGTGAGTTTGTTGAGCTAGGAATTTCAGGAGGAGCCCTCAAGAAGTTTCGGTTAGTTTGATCCCTTCACCTATTTAATTACTCTGCTTACTCTCATTCATGATTAGCAATGACAATTAAACTCTTGCATGTATTTGACGTGACCCAACCTGTAAAACTCGGTATTGATGGGTTTCAGGTCAGATCTGGGTGATATCCTTTTCTTTTTTTAAGGGCTGAAAATTGGCCCGATCCTGTCATGACCCTGTCTGACCCGTCCATAAAGGGTCAAGATGTATAACTGTGGGGAGTCGCGGTCATGAAGGGTCGGGGCGGGTCACGAAGGGTCAGGTCAGTGGGTCGACCCTAATAAATAGAATACTTTTCTAAAATTTACAATTTGGTACCCAATTTTATTTTTTTTACAAATAAGTCCCTAAAATTTGATGGTAAAACTACGTTTTGGTACCGAAAATTGTTAATTTTTACAATTTAGTACCTATACTTTTAAAATTTTACATATAGGTCCAACGTGTTTGTATGATGCTAAGTAGGGGTGGGCAACGGGACGGGATACCCGTCCCGTTTAAAACAGGTACACAGTCTTATTTGGAGAGCAACTTTCATCCCAAGTCCCAAACCCGTACGTGTAACGGATACCCATTACCCTCACGGGATGGATAACAGGTACCCATACTACCCGTAAATACCCGTTTAATTGGTGGAAGAAACAGCAGCAACACCTTTGTTCTTTGGCTAAAAAATTCCATCAAAATCTATTTTCAACCATTTCGCAGAATCGATGTCCACTCTGTCAACAACATAGGAAGCCTAGGGAAGTACCCAAATGAAGAAGACGTTATAGGAATTACAGTCCAGAACTGCACCATCAACGAAACCCAAAACGGGATTCGAGTCAAGACTTGGCCAAGGTCGTTGACGGGGAGTACCTCAGGTGACTAGGGATGGCAATGAGGCGGGTTTGCCTAAACCATCCCCATCCCCGCTTTCAAGTATCCAAACCCATACCTGCCACATACCCATGCGGGGGAAGATTTTGCTAACCCATCCCCATACCCGTGGGTTTCAGGTACCCATGAGTAATATCCGCCCCGTACATCCAACATTATAATACATAAAATTTTACATGTAAATTTTCAATTATAACATTAAAGGCACCTATTATATCATGAAGACGAGAAAGTGACAATAATTATTAATATGGTTCAAAATATTTTATCCTAAAATTTCCCTTAATCCATAAAATAGAGTACTACAATGTAATCCAAATCATTATTTATCTAACTCTAATACATATACTAAGCAATAATGAACTAATATAATCTTGCTAACAGGAGGGAAAAGTGAAAGAGTGAAGAGAGAGTTGAGGAAAATGAATTAGGTTTTGATTTGGGTGACCACTCAATTGCATTTCTACTAATTATTTTTTTTATTTACCCTAACTATCATTGATAGATTACTATTTCATTCATGTATTTTTTATATGTGAACAAATATTCTTAGTGGGGCGGGTATGGGTATGGGTATGGGGCGGGGAGGCTAAAACCATACCCGCCGCACCCATCAAACATTTTGCGGGTTTTACCCATACCCGCCCCATACCCAGTCAAAGCGGGGATTCCCCGCGTTGACTGGTCGAGGACGGTCGGATACCCGTGGGCATGGGTTTCATTGCCATCCCGACAAGTGACGTTGTGCAGTACTCCCTCCAAAGTCAGTTTGACCCTCTCGTTTTGATTGCCTGACATTTGGATTCCAATTTTATTTTGGGCTTCTGATGTTTAGATTGACGAGGTTATCTTAGCAGTTAGCATAGGATTACTATTTGGGAGTTTGATGGCATCTATACAAGCCAAGCTGATTGGCAGATATGTTTGCTTGAAGAAGAAAGCTGATTGGTTTTGATTGACGAAGCAGCTTTGTAATGCACTATGTTTGTAAAGGTAATTAGATCACTAATTACACGTGCACTTTATATATGAATGAATGGTTGCTTTGTACTAGCTAATGCAAGTAAATGCTTTTTCTAAGAACAAATTGTCTATCCCTTTGCAACAACTTTGGATTAACGGTATAACAGGTACTCGTAATACCCAAACGGGTATTGAAACAAGGTTTGATAGAAATCTACTGCGATACTAAGCTTCCGGTCCCCATCTGTGCACCATTGACCTCTAGAGTCTTCTAATCCCCATATAAAGTTGGCCTGACGTCTAATTGCCGTTATCATATGGAAGTATGGAGTGTTACGATCCCCTTCTGTTAACCAATTGACACGCGACTTTTGTCTCCAATAGATTTCTTCCATTTTAAATTGAACTTCTAGTCTTTCTTCTAGGGATCGTACCAGATTCCAATTCACCACGATATTTTTGCGTGCATCATCGAGAGCTAGGTTGAGGTCTTTTATCAGTCTGGCTGAGTTAGAGGTCCCCCCTTTGCACCAATCAACTAGGGTGTGACGCACCCTGAGCAATCTATAGAATAGACAAAATTGATGGGACCCAGTTATGGGTGCATCCCAGACGTACTCTATTAAGAGTCTTGTTTCATGATTTCGAGTCCATCTTATGTCAAAATGGAATAGGCGTTTAGCTCTAGACATTTCCGGTGAAGTCATGAGGCACAGGAGTCTGTGATCTGACCCTTTATCTGAGAGATGGTAAAGGCAGGAGTCCGGCCAGTTACAAGCCCAGTTTGTGGAAACAAATGCTCTGTCAATTTTTTGTTCGATTAGTATACCATTTCTTCCTCGGTTAGTCCAAGTAAATTTTGGCCCTTGAAACCTCATTTCTATCAAACCCAAATTGTTCGATTAGTATCGCAGTAGATTTCTATCAAACCTTGTTTCGATCCCAGCTTAATGAAGGTATTGACCTGTCCAATCTGCCATTTGAAAGTTTAGTCTCTATAGAACAAAATCAAGATCTCGTCGTGCGCATCACTCCAGAAGAAGTAAAAGAAGTGGTTTTCAGTATGGGGAAAACTCAGGCTCCTGGGCCAGATGGATTCACAGCAGGGTTCTACCAAGCTTACTGGGATATAGTAGGCAAAGATGTCACCCAAGCAGTTCTAGCTTTCTTTCACTCTGGGCATTTACTACGTTCAATTAATAGAACTTGGATATCGCTTGTTCCAAAAACTGCAGAAGTAAGATCCATGAAGAATCTCAGACCTATTAGCCTTTGTCAAGTAATTTACAAGGTCATATCCAAAATTCTGGCTAATATACTAAGCCGGGTTTTACCCAGTATAATTTCTCAAACCCAGAATGGCTTTATTAAAGGTCGCCAAATATCCGACAATATTCTAATTAGCCATGAGATAACTCATCATCTCCGAACAATGACCTCAGGTCAAAAAACATGGATGGCCTTAAAACTAGACATGGAAAAGGCCTATGATCGTGTGGAATGGCCATTCCTCTTCGGAGTAATGAAAGAACTTGGCTTCGATCAAAAGTTTATATCATGGGTAAAAGAATGTGTCACAACAGTTTCCTACTCAGTTATGGTGAACGGAAACCCCTCTAGCTATTTTCGCCCGTCAAGAGGACTTAGACAAGGAGACCCTCTGTCTTCACTGCTATTTGCCATCTGCACAGAAGGCTTCTCAGCCATGATAAGACACACTATAGCAGTAGGGTACCTGGAGGGTGTGAGAATTCGTGCATCTTGTCCGATGGTTTCCCACATCTTCTTTGCGGATGATTCATATCTCTTTTTAGAGGCTTCCCCTCAGTCTTGCTCAACAGTTCTTTCCCTATTTCAAGCTTATGAAGGTCTGAGCGGCCAGCGAGTCAATCTTCAAAAGTCAGCAGTTTTGTTTAGTCGCAATATGAACCCAGATCTAGCTGGGGTACTGGGAGATCAATTAGGAGTGGGTAGCATTGGAGAACAAGATTATTACTTGGGACTCCCATCAAGTATCTCTAGATCAAAGAGAGAGGCCTTCCAATTCATAGAAGAGAAGCTCATTAAAAAACTTCAAGGATGGAAACAACGTACTCTGTCTAAAGGTGGAAAAGACATTTTAATTAGAACGGCGGCCACCAATTTACCAGTACATGGTTTGTCGTGCTTCAAGATTCCTAAAGAGAATTGCAAGAGACTAAATAGTCATGTGGCTAGATTCTGGTGGGGCTCAGCGGATAATGTTGATCGGCCAATACATTGGGTATCCTGGAAAAGCTTGGCACATAGTAAATTTCACGGAGGCCTTGGATTCAGAGACTTTGGGGCCTTTAATCAAGCATTGTTAGCTAAGCAATGTTGGCGAATCTGGAAAAATCCTAATTCTCTCTTGGCAGCCATCTATAAGGGTCGATACTTCCAAAACGGGTCAGTGTTGGATGCGAATCTAGGGTCCAACCCTTCTTGGGGATGGCGAGGTATACTATTTGGAAGAGATCTCCTTTTACAGGGATTAAGATGGCAAATTGGAGATGGGCAAGATATTGATGCCTTCAAAGATAAGTGGGTTATTTCAGATAAACCCATCTCTCCTTTGAGCCGCCTCTCGAACATAACTAATTCCCCGAGAGTTTCCTTTTTCATCAAGGAAAATAGAGGTGAGTGGCATGTCCCAAGATTACACTATTGCTTTGAGTCTTCAACGGTCAACCTTATTTGTAAAATCCCACTCCCTAGATACCATCAAAGAGATATGAGAGTTTGGCATTTTACAAAAAATGGTCTTTATACAGTCAAATCGGGATATCATCTAGCTCTTGACATCTCATTATCCGATAGTCGAAAACCTCTGGTCCAAATCATTGATCCTCCTATTTGGAAGAAAACCTGGGATATTCCAACTCCTCCAAAGCTGAAATTCTTTATCTGGCAATGCCTTAGAGTGATACTTCCAACAGTGGTAGCACTCAAATCTAGAGGGGTTAATTGTCATGTCTGTTGCCCTGTGTGTTGGAGAAGACCGGAAAGTATTGAACATCTGTTCTTCAAATGCCCCCTGGCCACAAGATTGTGGTCGCTTATGGGATTAAATGATTTCATCTCCTCAGCCCCGACTGTGAATTTCAGTCTCTGGTGGCGACATGTTATGCTTTCCGAGCACCCCCAAACCCATATCCTCCTGTTCGTGTGTGTTTTATGGAGGATCTGGAAGTCTAGAAATAAGGTGGTCTTTGAACATGTCCAGCCTCTTGCCCAGTCTCTCGCTCGTCAGTGTTTTTTCCAAGTTCAAGAACTGTCTTCCTCCCTCCCTTTGGTCCCTGCTCCCCTGCTCCAGCCGTCCCTCTCTCGCCGCTCTCCCTGGTCCCCTCCTCCTGTTGGCGTTCTGAAGATTAACTTTGATGCTGCTGTTCGCTCCTCTGGTTGCTCGTCTGGTCTTGTGGTGCGAGGTTCAGACGGGCGTGTGGAGCTGGCTGTAGGTGCTCTTCACCCTGGTATTGCTGATCCCTACCTTGCAGAACTCCTTGCTGCTAGAGCCGCCATTTTCCTTGTGGTCTCCAAATCGCTATCCCGGGTCATCATTGAAGGAGATTCAGAGGTGGTGATTAATCAGCTGCGTCAAGGCGTATTATCAGATTCCATTGGAGGACCGGTGCTTCGGGATTGCTTTCTTCTCTTATCTTCAGTGTCTGTTTCCTTAGAGTTTAGGGCAATCCCCCGGACTGCGAACAGGGCTGCCCATAGAGTGGCGCAGAAAGCCCTGTTTCTCTCCCCTTTAGAGTTGTCCTCCTTTGACTTTGTGGATTGGCTTCGCTTTTGTATGGGTTGGGCAGGGTTTGGGTAGTGTGTATAGGTTCTCTCTTGACATTTCTTGGAAAAAAAAAAATACCCAAACGGGTATTAACGGGTAACTCGCAGGTACCCAAAGTAGTGATTTTTTATTCCAAGTCCCATCACGTACAAAAAATTATGGATATTTGGGTACCCGTAACCCTAAAAAAATGGGACGGGTACGAGTATACTAAAAAACCCGTTTCTCGTTGTCCACCCCTAATGCTAAGGGTCATAGGGTCAAAAAGTGACCTGACCCGACCCTCAGATGACCAGACCCTAATTTGATCCTGTAGACAAACTGACCTAGCTCGACCCTGATGGTCGAAGCAGGTCTGGGCGGGTCAATTAGTTTTAAGGGTCAAATTTACACCCCTACTTTTTTGTGTTGAGTCAGGTGTAGGTTTGGCTAATACTATGCCCGTTATTCACTTGCCGTACTGAGAGATATACAATATCGTTTTGGGTCGAGGTAAGAAAAGGTAGCAAACCAGACCCCCAAACCTTATCGCCCTTCGTCTTCTTCCCTTATTAAAAAGTCCAG